TCGATTATTGCTCCACGTAGGGATGGAGTTTTTTTGAAATATATATATAGAGCTGTGAGCGACAGAGAAATTTTTCAACTTTTCTATTTAATAATTACTTTTCTACTTCGATTATTATTCCACACAAGAGTAGAGTTTTTTTTTTTTTAAAAAAAGATCGAATTTTGAGAGCGATTATTAATAACGATTATTATTTTTGAAATGAGAAATAAGATTCCGAGACCGATCAATATTTATCAAAGAATTTTCTTGCTATCGAAAAGAGAGAAATACTTCCTCTCTTAAAAGACTGCCAATAATGATTTCAATTTATAACAAAAAAAAAAAAAAAAAAAAAAAAAATAGATAAAAATTTGTTGCGTCAGATGAAAATATACAGAGGTAGAGGAAGGAGGGTAGAGAAATAGGGTGGAAGTAAGACAGATCGTTGCAAAATAAATGAACGTGTAAATTACATTTAGATCCGGCCCACCGATCGATACAATCAATCCAATGCAAACTTTCTCCCCTGTTAAAATTTTCTCCCCTTTGCTCCCCCTCTCCTTTTCTCCCCTATCCCATATACCCCCGTATTTTTTTTACAACACGTCGAATCGATGGAATGACAGGGAGGGCAAGGTGGAGGGGAAGTTTATGCACAAACGTCAAACTCGACAAGAGAATGAAGTTGGATTGAACGATACACGCGAATAATGTTTCCAGCAATGTAAGTCCATGTGTGATGTTTACATTTATATCCTTCCAGTTTTTGGAAGGAAAAATAAAAGCCCTCGACAATAAGAATAAAGAAAGAGGAATGGAGAAATGGGACGAGAAGGGAAGAACGGATAAAGGAGGGAGAGGGGGAAAATGAAGAAAAGAAGAAACGACAAAGTAGGAGTTTGGATAATATGAAAACGATATGGAGGCGAGACAGAAATTTAAATTTGCATTAGATAGACATAGAAGAGAAAGAGAAAGTTCTGCAATTATTTCTGGACAAACGTAGCTGGAAAAATTGAAATTATTTTCTCAACAACGGATGAGAAGCATAGCTCTGCTTGGTTCCTTCTTTTCCATTCAAAATCTCGATCGATCGAGACGCTGGTTGGCACCATAACTAATTCTTTTGTCTCGAGTTCATTGCCCATTATCGTAATCGCATCGCAGTAGTGAAGGCGTAAAGCGTTTCCACGATGAAAAGTGCATTCAGGGGGGAAATTCTCGCGAGATTTCACGTACCATTTGTCGCATACCTGTTTCCTTACGATACCCTGAACGATTCGCGGTATTTTCAACCGGTCGAGGAACAACGCTGTGGATCGTAAAAAAATATTGATGAATAAATCCACTGTGCCTGACTTCGTTTCCAACGGTTATGGTTATAGAGAAATGGGTCGAGGAATGTTTGGAAGAATTTGGTATTTAGAATTTAAACATCCTGGCAGGGAATAAATTTATTGGAGAATTCTCGGATGAAAATAAGCGAAGTGAAAAGAAATTTAGAAAACGGTTTGAACATTTTAGAGAACGAAAGATAATTAGAAAATTTTTGTAGAATTTCAAAAGTAGAAAGAAAAAATGAAAATGTTTGGAAGAATATAGATGTGTCGAAACGTTCGCGTTATTTAAATGTACACGTCATTTGTAACATATTTCGCTATCGCGAAATTGGGAAGGAAGAACGATCGATCGAGGAAATTTCTCGATACTCGATATCATCGTGGCTACGTTCAAACGAAATTATGAAATTAATGGAGTAAACGGAAATCAATCGTGATTTCCAACGAAATCTGTTGAATCTACAGTAATGGGTGTCTGAAATATATCAACGTTAACCGCATTTGGACGAGCTCCAAAATTAAATCAGTATTTTTGACAAAGATATGACTCACATTGATCGAACGAAACCATTTTCTTTTTCGAATAATGCGTACTTTTGACAAAAATTTACAACAAACAAATCCATCAGTTAGGTAAATTTTAAATCTCGTTTTATCGGAAAAAGAAAAAAAAAAATCATTCATTTCATTAGAATTATTTACTCCTTGTTATTTGAAATTCGTTCGTATGGAAATATTATGACAACGATTAAATTACACAAACGGGTTTATTGCAGTAATTGAAATAATAATAATTATATTTGATAATGTAATAATAACAGTTTAATTATACGATATACCTTTTATTAGAATCTCAATTTGATTTTCATCCCAACACTTTTACTTAGAATCTCAAAAACAATTTCTGCCTTCAATTATAAATTATTCGTACGTTTCTTCTTTTTTACCTCTAAAACACTTCAATTAGAAACTTTTCGAAGCAGGTGATACGACGTGATTCAACCAGAAATTGGAAGCAAAAGGACCGATCATGAGCGAAGAAATAAACAAGTGGGACGTGGATGAAGATACGATGGAAGATGATTTTGACGCTTCCAAAATATCCGAACCTTTGTCCGCGCCAGGAAGCAAACTTGAACACATCGGTTCAATCCAGACACAAGACACGTCCATTCAATCGAATCCGAAAGAAGATCCATTCTCCGGAATAGCTACGGACGAATTTGATATCCAAGAATCTAAGAACCAGGATGAGTTCAAAAAGTCCACCTCTCTCGGCCAGCTGGGCAAGGATTCGTCCCAAAAACAAAATCCAAAATCCGGGAAGTCGTATCGAAAATGCCAGCGCAAGTTCAAAGAGATGATAATGAATCGTGAACAAAAGAACGAGGAATTGGAGAAGCAACAGGGGGACCTCAAGCATCGATTGAACATCTTGGAATGCTCTATGCCGGCCGTGATGGTGTGGAATATCTGGAGGATGGCTCAAGGGACGTGTGTACCTAATCTCCAGCGTGTCATGGAGAAGCAGTTCCAAGGCCCAGCTTCCGGGGAAGTGTATTGTCCGAGAACGCCTAGCCGACATTTCGATTGCAGAGTGAGGGAGATCGAGGCGGAGAGGAAAGAGGCTCAGAGGAGGATGGAGGAGGCTAAGAATCTCTGGAGCGAGAAGGAAGCTCTGTTGGATGACAAAATGAAGAGGCTGGGTGAGGTTAAGGTCATTCAGGAGGAGATGAAGGGAAAGATCGAGAAGCTAACTGTCGAGGCCCAGAAATTGAAAGAAGCTTACAAGCCGGAGGATGAAGATGATCGCTCGTGTGTGGCTGGTTAGTTGAATAAAAGTTTCGCGCGCAAACTGATTCGTTTCTTAATATGTATTAAGAAATTATTGTGAATAAAATAAATCTCGTGATCAAAGTATGGATTGAATCTCTAAGAAAGTTTAAATTTATTTATTGGCGTGCAGGCGAATGCGGGGTAATTGAGTGCAAAAAGAAGTGGTTAAAGAAACTGCCTAGCAACACGTCTATTAAATCGACCGATATCGAGTGTTTAGAAAAGCTTCAGGAATTGGCCGAGACTGAATTGTACATGAAGAAACAAATCGCCGAGTTGGAAAATAGGGAGGACGCGTATATGAGAACGCTCCAACAAGCGGATGATCTGTGGTGTAAATTGGACACCGATGTTGCCAGTACCATAAGCAGTTTGCAGGAGCAATTAGAAATGAAGATGGCGGCAAATCAACAGATGGCCGATCGCATTGTCGAGTTGGAAGACGTGATAGAGAAGCTCAGATCAAGACTGTCCACATGCAGAAGTGAATTGGAGAAGTACCTTAGCGTGAGCAAGATAGAGGCTTTGGTAGGCAAAGAGGATGACTTTGCCGATGTACTTGACATAGATGTAGCGGTTAAAGTTGATATAAAAGAGGAATTGATTGGAGTTGAAGATTATGCGGAAATCGAAGAGGTGGAAGTCCTAGTTAAGATTGATATAGAGGAGAAGGATATTTTAGCGGTCCCGGAAATAGTTGATGTTGATGTGGAAATCAAGCCAGAAATAGTTGATGTTGATGTGGAAATCAAGCCAGAGATAGTTGATGTTGATGTGGAAATCAAGCCGGAGATAGTTGATGTTGATGTGGAAATCAAGCCAGACATAGTCGATGTTGATTTGGAAGTCAAGCCAGAGATAGTCGATGTTGATTTGGAAGTCAAGCCAGAGATAGTCGATGTTGACGTAGAAATTAAACCAGATGTGGTTGATGATGAAATAGAGATGAAACCTGATATAAAAGAGGTTGAGATAGAAGCTCTGAGACCTGAGACGATCGATGTTAAAATAGACACCGATGTTGTAAAAGTTGACGATGAAGAAGTAGAAATAAAACCAGAGTATTTTATTCAACAAGAAAAACTGTTGAAAGAAGCTTCAGAATATTTGGCGCAAATAGCATCTCTCTCTGAATTGGATAAATATGACGATGATTTCGTTTGTGCCGAAGGTTTCATTTGTAATGATGTAGTGTTCACTGAAACTGGTTTAACGCAAGAAGAAATGACTGCATTGAATGAAAAGCGTATCTCGCCACAGCAATTGTTACAAAAACATGGGTGGAAAATAAACATAGAGGATCTAATTGCTAAAAAACCTGTGATCATCGATAAACCACCTGTTCCTATAAAAATTGAGCCTCCACCTATTGAGAAAATCGAGCCTGTTGTTGAAGTAAGAAAAGAGCCAGACGTTATGGTGGAAATGCCTATAAAAGAGGAAATTAAACCTATAGAAGAAAAAATTGATGTACCTGAACCATTTGTGAAACCTGTCGAGGAAATTAGACCTATAGAAGAAATTAAACCTGAAGAAATTGAACCTATTGCAGAAGTTATACCACCGGAAGTTATCAAAGTGGAAGAAAGACCTATAGAAGAAATCAGACCAGTAGAGGAGCCAAGACCTGTTGAAGAAATTAAACCCATTCCAGAAGTTTATCCTCCTGAACCTCCTTCTATCGAAGTTGAAAGACCAATTGATACGGATAATATTATTGTCCCACGAAAAGAAATGTTATCATGGGAAGATGATGTTGATACAATCAGAACAGTTATCGCGGTATTAATTACATTATAATATTTGTTCTGATTTTAACTGCAAAATTATTTAATATGATGTCAAATTCTTTTAAACGTTTTAAAATTTATTAGAAATGTCCTGATTGCGTGATCGTGAAAGAGGATGCCGACAAGTTGGCCGCAAAGATGGCAGCATATACTGAAGTAAGCATTGCGACAAAATACGATAATTATAATTATAAAATAAGATAAAATTATGAATTTGATATTTAAATTATTATTAATATTTAAACATTTTCTTCGCGATCAACAATATTTTAACTATATTGATCTTTTTTAGACTGATGTAAAAGAAATAATCGTGAAACTTAGAATTCCCGAAGAAATACCCCCGCCAAAAGAAATTGAAATACAAGTCGAGCCTGAAGTGCAGCCAAAAATTGAAATAGCTGCAGAAGCAAAACCTGTAGTCCACGAAGAAATGGTCGAAGTAAAATTTGAACCTGAATATCCTCTAGAACCACCTCCCTCGCCATTGGTGTCAGAATTAATCGTAAAGGATGACGTGAAGAAAGATGAAATACCAGAAGTGATGCATAAATTGGAAATATTACCAGAAGTAAAAGAAGAAGAGAAGGTTCCTATAGTAGAAGAAATTGCTCCAAAAGTTATTGAAAAAGAAGAAGAGATTAAAAAAGAACCAATGGAAGAAGAAGAGGAAATTGTAGTACCGTTAGAGTTCAAAGAAGAAATTAAAGAAGAAAAACCAGAAATTAAGCCAGAAGAAATACCAGAAGTTAAGCCAGAAGTTAAGCCAGAAGTTAAGCCAGAAGTTGTGCCAGAAGTTGTGCCAGAAATTGTGCCAGAAGTTGTACCAGAAGTTGTGCCAGAAGTTAAGCCAGAAGTTGTGCCAGAATTGTACCAGAAATTGTGCCAGAAGTTGTACCAGAAGTTGTATCAGAAATTGTGCCAGAAGTTGTAATAGATGTTGTATCAGAAGTTGT